TCCCTTTTGTAATTCATAGATCTCTACAAACTTTTTTCATGTATTAGAAGAATTTGTTTAAAAGCCATAACTTTCTAACATATATCATTACTATTCCTAACACATCAGGTCGATCTGCTTTAGTTTTGTGGAAAGCCAATGTAAGTACTTTTTCTAGGCTAGTTACTGTCCTGAATCTTAATAAGTCCACCAGCTAACAATGTTAGATTTTGATGTTCTAGGTTAATATTAATTTCAGTGTAACACAAGCCAAAAATATTGTTTTTCATTTGTTAGTTGTTGCTCTATTAACTTACTTTGCATTTTCCACTTTTAATCACACTTATTATTATAAGATCTTAACATTCTGACATAGTTTCTTTTGCATGGCACCATGCCCCTAAGAAAATAAACTAATTGGGAAACCAAAAAGCAAAACAAAAGAAATAAAAAAGAGCAATTTGACACTGACAATGTAGGGTATTTATATGACATCCATAACATTTAATTCCTAATGTAGTCTCAGTATCTCTTGCATACTCCATGTAAAATGTACATGTTAGTGTTGTTTTTAATATTTCTTGGCAAATGTATTGCTCTTTTGTCTTTTTCTAAATTTATTTTTTAAAGAAAGTATTTCTTTAGCATTTTCCTTTAAACCTTTCCTTACTAGAAAGAATAGCAAGAAGCAGAAATGCCTTAATGCATTTCTGTAATCAGCATGGTATTTTCTCTCTTTTTTCTCTCCCTCTCTCTCTCTTTCCCTTCTTCTCTCTCTTTTCTTCCCTTCTTTCCCTTCCTTCCTTCCTTTAACCCCTATACACTTCATTTTCTTTATTCTTTCTTAGCAAAGAATAATGTAACAAATAGCTATATTCCTAGTACACAAAATAGTTAACTTGTAGAATCTTCTACGAAGAGGTTATGACTTATATAGACTTTCTTTGAAGTATGTAGCTATAATAGTAACTAATATCGTTCATGAAAACTTTGATTAAAAGAGATGGTTGCAGGCTGGCCCGGTGGCGCACTGGAGAGTACGCCGCTTGGGAGCACGGCAGCGCTCCCGCCGAGGGTTCGGATCCCATGTGGAGACCGGTTCCCGCTCACTGGCTGAGTGCGGTGCGGGCGCGACACCAGGGGTTGTGATCCCATTACTGGTCAGTAAAAAAAGACAAAAAGGAAAAAAAAAAAAAAGAGATGGTTGCAATATATTTCTTTAAAAATCTAATTTCCAGAATAATATAGTAATTGCTTTTAAGAAGGTGAGTCTCATTCCCACCCTCCATCTCACCTCCAATTCTCTGGTAATTTAAATTTCAAGACAAAAATTAGAGAAACTCTTATTAAAGTTATTATTATAAAGTGCACATTAATTTCAAAAGAAATTGACATTCAAATGAGGTCTTGAAGGTATTGAAAGTTTTGCATATGAAAATATGGTGGGAAAAGTATCCATAATATGAAGAAGAAAAGCATGTATTTTAATTTGGTTGGGGGTTGGAGTACATAAAGTAAAAGAATGGAATACAAAGTAGAAAGTTAAGTTAAGGCCATGGTTTGGAAGTCATGTCCCTAACTGATAATTAGAGCTGTGTTTTGGAGCGATCACCCGTGTAGAAAAATATAATGGGGAACATTTGCATAAAATCAAAGAGCTCCATTAAGATTTAATTATGGTAGTTGGCTATGTAATATTGCAGTAGTCATCGTAGAATACTTTTAGCAAATAACTTCTGGGTATACACTGGCAAGTCTTCGTAATTATGTGCAAATTTTTGGTATGATTTATTTTTGTTAGGTATAATGTTCCAGCTAGTTTCCACCATTGTTTAGGGAATATGTCCTCCCAACATAGCTGTTTTATTTTTATATTAGCCTAAGCAAACCATAAGAAGCAACTATTAGGAAATATATATATCTGATATAACCAAATAGAAATGACAAAGGAACTGAATAAACATTCTCAAAAGAAAACATACAAATGGCCAAGTATATGAAAAAAGGCTCTGTATCACTAATCATCAGGGAAATGCAAATTAAGACCACATTGTGATATCATCTCACCCCAGTTAGACTGGCTGTTATCAAAAAGACAGAGAATAGCAAATATTGGCGAGGATGTGGAGAAAGAGGAACCCTTCTACACTGTTGGTGGGACTGAAAATTAGTACAGCCATTACAGAAAACAGTATGGAGGTCTCTCAAACAACTACAGATAGAACTGTAGTTCTATCCAGCAATCCCACTACTGAGTATATACCCAAAGGATGGAAGTCATCATCTGGAAGGGTTACCTGTGCTCCCGCATTTATTGCAGCTCTATTTGTGATAGCCAAGATATGGAAACAACCTAAATGTTCATCAAGGGACAACTAGATAAGGAAAATGTGGCCTACACATGATGGAATGCTTCTCTGCAATAAAAAATAATGAACTTCTACCATTCGCAGCAGCGTGGATAAGCTTGGAGAAAATTATGTTAAGTGAAACAAGCCAGGGACAGAGAAATACCACACGTCCTCACTCGTAAGTGGGAGCTAAGAAAATAAAAAGAAAAAAAGAAAGAAATTCAAAGAAACAGCAATCACAATAATACTTCGAATTTTCAGAAGGAGAGAACAGAGCAATGGTTACTAGAGGTGGGAAAATGGGAGGGGGATTAGTGAGAAATTGGTTAATAGACACAAGGAATGATTATATTTTGTAATGATGAACATGCTAATTATCCTAATTTGATCATTATACATTGTACACAGGTGTGGATATTCAACTCTGTACCCCACAAATATATATAATCAAGTATGCTTTAAGACATCTTAAATATAAGGATAAAAACAATCTAACGTGTTCTGTTTGAGAAATCACCTGTGACATGTATGTCAGAATCTTTTTTTACTTTCATTGTGGTCTAGCAGTTACTAGGGTGATCTACATATTGGTTTTAAATTCTTAATTAATTTTTTCTTAGGCACATAGGAATAGGCATTATGTAGTACATAGAATTTGGTGAAAGCCATGACTGTCCTGGATAATACTTGATTTATTCTTAGAAGAATGTATTTAGACTTCAACTGGTATCTAATTCTACTGAGCTCTATGAGAACTGCTTATATAATTGATATTCCTTCTTCTATCTCTTTGTAATATGGATTGTTTAATATTATTGACGACTCTGCATGTTTCTTGTATTTCTGAACTTTGAAAAGTCACTGCTTTCTGTGCCTGAATTTAACAAGTTTTAAAATAATGGAGAATAAACTAACCTCAAAGGTCCTCCTTATCCTTAGTATTTGATGAGTCAATGAAATGTAATTTCTTTCCTTTTCTTTTTGTAGTTTGAATGACAGCAGTACATTTATGATGCTGCATGAAGCAGAATATGTAGAGTTCTTTGCTCAATAAGTTCAAAATGGTCAATTAAGACATAGTTAATAGGAAATAAGATAAAGAACAAGTTTAATAAGTGGCAAAGTCTGGGGGTATTCAGTAACTCATTCATGTAGTTTATGAAAATCATTGGGAAAAATGAACAGCATTGCATATTCTCAGTTCACAAACTTGAAAGGCAGTATAAGGCTCTTTTGGTTAAATACTTTAAAATCAGACTTTCTGGATTTGACTCATGCCTCTGCCACTTATTAACAGTACTACCTTGTACAAGTTACTTAGCCTTTCTTGTGCCTTAGTTTTCTCATCAGTAAAACTGGGATAGAAATAGAACCTGCCTTATAGACTTGCTGTGGAGATTAAATGAGTTTATGCATACTTGCAAATTGTCTGAAGTATCTAAAATGGTGCAAGGTATATAGTACTCATTATTAGCAATTATTTTGATATAATTACATCATCTCATAGTTAAGATACATTTTGTCATTTTAGTTATAATTCTTACATAAATCATGAATTTGAGATCATAGTTTCATGCATATCTAAAATATATATTCTGCAGATCTGCTTATATTGTCATGAATGTTTTGTAACATTCCACTGTTGTTAGTAGAGCAAATATTCTATAGCCATTAAATATTGCACTGTCATTGGTATTCAGTGCTATATTTGGCAGAAGGATCATAAGTGTGAAATACATTCATATTGACTAGGTTTTCTTAAAAGAGGGTACTATGATCTGAATGTTTGTGTCCCCCCCAAAAATTCATGTGTTGAAATTCTAACCCTCAAGCTGATAATATTAGTAAGTGAGGCCTTTGGAAGGCCATTAGATCATAAGGGTAGGGACTTCATGATTGGAATTGGTGCCCTTTTAAAAGAGACCTCAGAAAGGTAGCTCACCCTTTTACTATGTGAAGATAAACTCAGAAAGCATCATCTATGAACCAGAAAATGGGTGCTCACCAAACATCGAATCTGCTGGTGCCTTGATCTTGGATTTCTCAGCCTCCAGAACTGTGAGAAGTTTCTGTTATTTATAAGCTACCCAGTTTATGGTATTTTGGCATATGGTATTTTGGTATTATGGCAGCCTGAGTGGACTAAGACAGAAGGTATGAGATTTCAAGTACCCATATCTGATATATTAATGTAACTGAAGTTGCTTTAACAATAAATTTAACATTTCCTGAAATCCTAGATAGATTTCTACCTTCTCTCTGTTCCCTATTGATTTCAGAATATCGAAATACAAAGAAAGGAAAAGAAAGAAGTGTTGACCAAGAATATTGCTATCAGCTGAGAATGTTTCAGTTGTATATCATTTCCAATGCATTAATTTCTCTTATCTTGGTTTTATAATTCAGACTTATTGTGTGCTTAATTATTCATTGTACATATGGAGTATTTTTCATTAGATTTTGGAATTCCTAACTGAGAAAATTTTGTGAAACATCATATACTATAAATACTGTAAGTACATTTTTGTGTTTTCTTTTTAGAAAGTAATACAGTTGCTACACTCTTAGATTTTGTTTCCAAGTCTTCATTTCAGCTAAAATGGCAGTTATCTTAGAGACCATTTCTTTAATCATTATGTATTTTATCCTGCTTCTCTTTTCAGGACCAGGGTTCTGATCAAGCAGGAAAGGAGAAAGCAAAAGGTAAAGAAAAAATACTTTCATTTGTTATATTAGTCTGTTTCTGTTGCTTATAACAAAATACCTGGAACTGGGTAATTTAAAAGAAAACAAAATTTACTTACTGCTTGCAGGGTCAGAGGCTGAGAAGTCCAGAGTCCAGGGAACACATCTGGTGAGGGTCTTGGTGAGGTTGACAGTGACCCAGGGGTCTCACGTGGCAGAAAATGGTGGAACAGAGAGAGAGAGAAAACTCCTCATGTGCTTTTCTTTTAAAGCCCTCAGAACTATGCCCATGACTGACATTAAACCATCAACTTAATCACCTCTTCAAGGTCCCACCTTTCAATCACCGTAATAGGACTTACCACTTTCTTAACACTGTCACGGTGGGGACAAGCCTCCAACACATTAAACTTTTGGGGAAACACAATTCAGTCCATAATATTTGTGTTAGCCTTATCAGAATAGTGGTATTCTAAAGCATTTTTCCACCATTAATAAACTCACTTAAATGAAACTCGAGGATCTTCTTTCTTTAGTCTTCTCCATCCTTGTAGATAGCTTGATTAGCCACCCATTGTGCTCAGGCAAAAACTTAGAAATTATTATTAATTCTTGTTGTTTCTAGTTCCAAAATATATCCTAAATCTTACCACTCCACACTACCTGTACTATTAGCACCCTCATGTAAATCATCATTTACTGCCTAGGGTACTGTAATGGCCTTATAACTTGTGTTCTACTTCTGTTTATTTTGTCTTTTTTTAAAATTACACTGATTGCATTATATAGTAAGTGGAGCATGTCCGTACCTTACAGCTGAGCAGCGCATGTCTGAGAGAAACTTGCACATGTGCACTTTGAGACATGTACAAGATTGTTTGGGTTACTGTTATTGCTAAAATAGCAAACAGAGAAAAGAAGGAGAAAAAAGAAGAAGGGCAGGGAGAGGGAGGAAAAGAGAGAGAAGGAACCACCCAAATGTCCATTATTGGTAGAATAATGTGTCATGTCCAAGTAATGGTATAGCAGTGAAAATGTATGAACTACATGTAATTGATGTGGATGAATCTCAAATATATAATGTTGAGCAAAGAAATAACTCACAGAAGAATACAAGCAGTATGATTCCTTTTAAAAGAAATCCCAAAACAGAAAAAAAAAAATCACTATATCAATATGGTCAAAGGTAGTGAAGTTTAAAGAAAAGCAAGTGAGTGGTACGAAAGCAAGATAGTTGCCCTTTCACCCCCTTTCTTTCCTACTATGCCCCTTCACTCTTATGTGACATTCACACTGAATAGCTCTTGCTAATATCAACAATGAACTTCATTTTTTTCAGTTGAAAGGATATTTTTCAGTCCAACTTACTTTAATATGTTGTCATCTCCTGCATAGTTTGCCATTCCCTTAATCTTGAGACAAACTCTTCCCATGCTTTCTTTGACACATATTCCAGATTTTATTATTGTCTGGTCGTTTTTTTTTTAATGGCTATTTTTAAGTTAAAACTGAATTACTTATTTTCTGAAAGTTTTCTAATTTTCTTCAAATTGTTTTCTGGTTGTTTCTACCAATTGTAGCTGGACAGAAAAATTGAGCCTAGTCTTATCAGGTAAATCAGTCACATACCTTTATTTTTTCCTAGGAACACGGAGATGAGAGATTATCGTGCTGGCTAGAATGTGAATGATAGACCTCTTCAGCAGTGTTCTCTGGCATAAAGGCTAATAACTCCCTTTGCAGAAAGCCCTTGTTCTGTCTTATTCCTAGAAACATATTCTTATCCTCTTTGGCTAACTCTGACTCATCCATTCCCTGTCCTCTTGCCCTCCCTCTATCCATCCTCCTCCAAAAAATAATTTGCATATGCTTCTGAGTAATTTATAAAACATCCTCTCTCACACTTGTAATTATTTATGTTATTATCTCCCTCACTATGGTCTTAGCCATCACAAAGTACCGTGCCTTAAGAAATAACATCTTAATTCCATGACACTGTCAATTATAAGATCTACATTGAGTTACTCATTTTTTTCAAGGGGGAAAAATATATACATCCTGAAGTTCTTATTATTTCATTGCTGAACCATAGTGATGTTTTAAAAGACATTTTAGTTCCAGTTTGGGGTTGTAGATTACTAAATGAAATATGAACAGATATTTTATATTTATGATTTTGTATAACAAGACATTTACTTTTTTGCTTGATAGTTGGCAAGTCTCATAGTTCTTACAAGTTTTTTGCAATCTTAAAAGTCAATTTTTTTTTTCCTTTTTGTCTTTTTCCTGACCGGTAACAGGATCGCAACCCTCGGTGTCGCACCCGTACCGGGGACCGGCAATGGGATTGCAACCCTCGGTGTTGCGCCTGCTCCGCGCTCAGCCAGTGAGTGGGAACCGGTCTCCACATGGGATCCGAACCCTTGGCGGGAGCGCCGCTGCGCTCCCAAGCAGCGCACTCTCCAGTGCGCCACCGGGCTGGCCCTTAAAAGTCAATTTTAATTAACAATATTCTTAGATGTTATTGTGAAAGAGCCTTAACATCTTGAAAGTATGATATGTAACCTTTTGGAAATGTGACATCTTGCATTAAATTTTTTGCCATCTTAGGCTTTTCTCATTTTTGACATCTTACCTTTATAATCATGCTTATAGTATTGTATTATGAGTTATTTAATGGAAGAGATGTTTCACAATTTGTTAGTGTCTAGCACATAATAGTTGCTCGATAAGTAAATTTTAAACAAATAAATGCCTTTAACTTGGTAAATTAAGGATGTAATCTGAAAGAAAAAGAATGAAGATAAGGAAGAATAATTATAGTTCAAACAGCCAGAAAGAAAATAAAAACTGAATGAAGAATGATAATTAAGTGCAAGTCTGGATTAAAAAAACAAACATCCAGAAGTCATGGAGAAATAACAAAGTGAATTACATTATCTTTGGTTGTGGATTAGTTCTCACATAGCTTCTTTTTCATTCTCTCATTTCAATTGACTTTTAATGCACTCAGCTGTGCATATCTTTAAGGCTTTTTCATATCTGTAGAAAACAAGTTTTTATCTTATCAGATTTTTTTTTACTTTTTACATACAGATAATTTCCAACATTTTGATATAGGGGAATAGCTTTTTAAAGTTCTGTTTTAAAAGTAATGCTTAACAAAAGAAAGATTATAACAGGCTGTAAAATTTAGAGTCTTTAGGCAGACTGCAAAGTATCGTGATTGATTTTAATTTACATGTCGATATATAAAAGTGGTGTCACAAAAATATGACGTCAAGTCAGTGATTTAATAGCATTATTGCTTTTTTATTATTTATGATTCTGCCTAAAACCACATAATTGCTACATTAATTTTTAAATTTTAAAAATTATTTTAGGAATATTTTGAAAAGAGCAGGTTAAAATCAAAAATGAAATTACTGGGAGTTTTATCACCTGTCAAAAATTCTACTGTCAGTTTAGACCTTCTCAACCTATATATGGTAAATCAGATATCCTGCAAGAAGACACCTGGTAAGTGTTTCCGACAGCATTTTGTTTTGACCTTGAAGTGATCATAATAATATTTAGCTTTCTAATTAGTTTATAATTTTAGAACTCAAAGCATGTGGAAATTAATTTTAAAACCTGGTAGCTTAAATTAGAAGCTTAGTTAATATATGCTTAAAATTTTTTGTTGCCTAATCCATTTATTTTCATTTTTTGGTTGTGTATATGTTAAATAAAACTAGTTTATTAGGTATGGTTAAACTTATTAGAGTGCAGTTGTTTTAATTATTATGTTATTCTATCTAGGCAGGTAATGTTTACCTAGAGAGCAGGAACTAAATGTCTTTATTATGTTTTATTATTTAGAGAATTTGTTCAAAAGGAAGAGCTGAAAAGATTTTTGCCTCAATGACTAGTTTTCTATCTCACAACTTGAATAATTTCTTTGACATTCCTGGGATAACTATAGTAGTCTGGTACTTCAAAGTAAAGTTCATTTTGTCCCATACTTTGATTCTTCAAGTAAACATAAAGTTTAATCACAGTATTTTTTTTCTTTCTCCAGGGAACTTGTGTCTGATATTGAATTTTTAAAATACATGCTAAAATGAGAGCTTAAAAATAAGACGATTCATCAAGGAAGGATAATCAGAATATTGTTAATATCTTCTTTCTTTTTCTCTGCCATTTTTCTTTCTCCCTCCACAGATGACAATTTACACAAGCAAATTAAGTTATACCTTAGAAAAAGTAAACACATTCATGTACTTTGGAAATAAATCATTTAAAAAATCTGTTTGATGTATTTACCTTTACTCCTTTTTGTGGGGAGGAAATACATGTCTTCCTTACCGATTGCTATGTTCATGGCTGAGGCCCCAATCACAAAAAGACAGATTAAAAAGAGAAAAGCATATAGATTTATTTAATAAGTTTTATATGACATCAGAGCCTTCATAAGGAAATGAAGACCTGAAGAAATGGGTAAACCTGTGCATTTTTAATGCTACGTTTAATGAAATGGATAGCCATGGGGAAGTATGGTTATATTTAAAAAATCATGATCTAATGTTATAAACTGAGGATTTCATGACTGGCTTAAGGGGAAGGTCAGAAAAATCCTTTGTATGTTTTATGACCCCTGTCAGGAGAGAAGCAGGGAAGATGAGAGTGACCTTCCTGCTTTTGCTGTTTTCTCAAATGCCAGGATGCTATATTTGGGGGTAATGTGTCTTGAACCCCATCACGTTTTGCTCACTTTTTTTCATTCATTCGTGAAATGTATGCTTATTGAGTACCTAATATAAGTACTGTATTGCATACTGAGAATAACATAGAAAGCAAGACTTTATTAGTCAAGACTTATGGCTACAAATGACAGAAATTCAAAAAAGAAATATATTCTGTTATTTAACTAAAAGGAAGGGCCATAGTGCAGTAGTCCTCAGAGATAACTTGAATTAGGGACTTGAATGCTAACTACCAAGATTTTTTTCTCACTTCAGATATTAGCTTTACTCTCTCAGACTGTCTTTATCATTGAGGCTCAAAATATGGTCATAAGAAACTAATATCGCTCATCTCTTCTAGTTTTGCCACCAGGGAAAGATTAAGTGTTGTTTCTCTGGTTCCAAATTTTTAAATTCCTGTGGGAGGATGTTGCCTGGTGCTACTGGTGCTGGGTCCCATCTGTGGAACAATTTTGCTTATGACCCGAAGGATGGGATACAGTTATTGGTTCATCTTTAGTCAGATGGCTACCCCTAAGCTATTTATTTTGTCCAGAGAGGCAGGATTTTATAGGAAGATAGAAAGTCTCCACTAGAACTGCATAATTGGGGTGGATGTAAAAAGCATTTCTCAGAAAAGGAGAGTACGTAAAAGTACTGAGCAGACAAAATGATGTCTTCTATGAAGAAAGGCTTCTGTCCCTATAAAGTTGAAAATCTAGTGAGTGAGATAGAGTTAATCAAGTACAATAAGGTATAGGAAGTGCTATAATAGAGAAAATATATAGTGCTACGGGAATATCTAACATAGGTCTGATATAGTCTGGGGATCAGGGAAGTCTTGGAGGAAGTAGAAGAATGAATTAGTAGGCCCCTTTCATGAGGTGTATGTAAGATGATAAAGAAAAAGGTGTTTGTAGTTGTCTGTGGTAGCTGTTAGTACTGTAATGACCTTTTCTAGCATATATAGAATATAAATATTTTAGTAGAATTTCTTAGGTACACATTCATTTAATGAACATGATACAATGCTTTTAAAGGACTTTACTTTTTATTTTAAAATTGCAATTATACATTTTTTCATTATAGAAATGATGAGAAAACCAGTCCATGTGAATATGAATAGAGACATAAAAATGCCTCTAAGAAAGCATGATTTAGAACTTCCAATGTCACCTCACTGTATACCTTCTAAACTCTGCCTTGATGATATGGAAAACAAGTATGTTTTAGCTAGGATTTATATTATTGAGTTTTTAAACTGGTTATTACTAATACTTTTATTCATTGGAAAATGTACAAGGAGCTTACCTTTTAGCTTCAGTTTTTGTTTGTTTGGCTAAAAGTATTATAAAACTATTAAAACCTTTAATCAAATGACCTAGGTGTTTTGTACAAATAGTTTGACTTTCCTTATCATAAAAATGTCTATCATTAGTATTAATATAATTTTTTTACAACTCAGTAATATTATGACCCTTGAATGATTTACTTAGAGTTCTATGTTATTGTGTGCTTGTGTAGAACAGTACGTATTTTAATTATATACAAAAAAGTCAATTTTATTGCCATTTATATTTTTAACCTTAAAATTTTCTTTTCATCAGTATACGCCATCAAAGACTAGGTAGCAAGGATGAGGTTGGCCCAGCTCAGGTGAGATTTTTTAACCAAATTTTATAAGTTATTTTAACAATTGTGACATGTCACTGAATAATCTAAAATTTTGAATATTGGGGAAAATTAGTATCCTTTAATAAAAATTTTAGTCCTTTAATTCTTTTAAAAGCTTTCTAGTATAAGAAACCTATACCTTAAGAATATTTTAATTGATTGCTTTTGAAAATCCCTTTGGATTACTGGTAATGTCTCTAGGCCTCCGTGTGCACACCATTTGATCCTGCTTGTCACTGATTAGCTGCAAAGGACAATCCATTTAGAGATTCTTACTTTGGATTCATATGATTATTGGGCAACTTTTCTCTTCAAACATAGTGATCAGTTATTTTATCTTACATTAAACTGTGATGTTCAATCTTCACATTGATCCCAAGATGATTTCTCCTTCAAAGTATAGCAAATAATCAGTTTTTTAGCAAATAAAATTTTAATCAATTAGAAAATGCATAAATTGTGATTAAATGTTAAAATTGTGTTTAACATTCATTTTCATATTATCAACTATTCTTTCTTTCCTTTGAATTGTCAGAGATAAACTAGATCAGAAAGATAATGACAATGATATGAAAATTCAGGAAATCTCATCACCTGAATTGTGGGTTAATGAAACTCAGATTTCCTGTTATTAGAAGATGGCATACAAGAATGGAGCTAGATAGTGAAGGGGAGCAGAGGTGGGAATGGCAAAGGGAAAGGAGCTCCTAAATATAATCTTAGTTGATAATCTGTGTCATACAAGTCCTATCAATTACTGGTGGCTTGCCTTTCCTTGGGACCTTGTTTTTCCCTCAATCCATGCCCTTTTCACTTGTTTTAATTTCACTGTTTGAATTTCATCTTCTCTAGTTTATATATTTTGTGCAATTTAAATGATTTTCTTTTCTTTAGTTGTCACAAGTCATGGACTCACATAGTATGTTTGAACCTCAGTTCAGCAGAAGAGAAAACTGCAGTTCTACTCCACCATCTTTTTCAGCAGAATTATCTTCTAACAGACATATACCAAAACAAAATTTCCGTCCAAAAATAGCACCTAGTCCTTGGAAAGTTGCATATGAAAAAAAGCAGAATGAGGAGGTACCTTTGAATCACTATTTCATAGCATTTTATATCATTATATTTTTGTGATATGCTTTTTCAAACCCTTTTCATAGATTTTAAAAATATAAGTTGTGAGTTGCCATAGATATAACCAAATTAAGAGATAAGTTAAGGATAATTATTTCCCTTAAGTCTAAAGTTTAGTTCTCCTGGAAATTATCATCCTTTTAGGAAATTATTGATAGTAAAATTGAAGATAGTTCAATATGTTACATAGTAGTTGATGTTTATAATCACTGTAAATGACTAGTTAGTGATGTCCTGGTGACCCAAAATGCTTGATATGGGAAGTGTCTTGTGAATAGCAACATACAGTCTCAGTGATATCATAGTAGTCTCTTAAAGTATGAGTTGTGATGGCTTAATTTTTTCTGTGATTTGAGAAATGACAACTGTTTATATGCATTTCTACTAACACTATGCAAATATATAGAAATATTTAGTGCTAAAATGTTGTTCAATCATTGTGTGCTCTAAAGTTAAAAATATAAAAACATCCAAATTTTAAAATTCTGAAATATATCTATCATAGAACATACCAGGAAATAATCTTCTACTAAATTTGTATAGAATTTAAAAAATAAAATTATTAAAAGTTACTATACTCTTGAATATAATAGTAATGATGAAATGGTTATATGAACACTATGTCTTAATAGGAATATTTAGTTTTGAATTTCTCCCAATTTTAGTGTGCAGTGGTATTATGCCATGTTTATGTATGTACTTATTATTTATAAATAAATTTCTAATCTGTAATTTATAAATTCATAGGTTATATTATAGTTATGTATTATAGTATATTATAGTTATATGTCTATGATAAAATAGTTATATATAACTCAATATTATTAAAGTATTAAAGTATATTTTACTATTTCTCAAAGAAGGGAAAATAAAGTATTATATTTCAGTGATATGTGCTGGCCTTATCAGTTTAAGGGCCCAGTAATCTTCGAATGATGCAATAAAAGAAATTCAATTACCAATTTGATTTATATTTTGTAAGATGAAAACTTGCATTCTAGACAAACTTTTAACTTATCCTTGCTCCATTAAATAGTTTATGGGATAGAGAATAAAACACTGTAATCTCTATTTAAACAGTCTCTTCCTTGCCTACAGATTAGTTGTTAACTTCAGAGAGGTAAATAATGTTATAACTAGTATGTCAGAAGACTGAAAAGAGAGGCTAATGTCCCTTTCCAAGTTATCGTGTCACATCATGAAGTATTAGCGAATTAATTAGTAGCTTATTTGGAGGGATTTCAAGAAAAGTGATAATTAAAATGAAATTATAAAATACTTAAGAAAATGAGGTGAAAAACCAGGTTAGAAGAAAAAGTGGTTTGGGGCTTCCTGGACCCTAGAGAAGTAGTATTGAGCCAAATATGTAACATTGTTTTCTCTTCTCTGTTGATTTGTTTGTGTGTCTGTTTCTCACTTCAAGGGATGACTTTGTCTCTGCACCTCTGTCACTGTTTTTCTTTCTGAGGGTGAGATGTATTAGCTGAGATGTTAGTGTCAGCTCTCCCTGACTGGTCTTTTTCTTTTTTCCCCAAAGACTTTTAGTGTGTTTTTTTGACCCCTGCTCTTTTTTTCTGACTATTTTTTGTCATTGATTGTCTTTGGCCTTCTCATTTTTATGTTTCATGGGTTATAAATCAATATACTACAGCTATAAATTATTGTCGCTTGATAGATTAGTGTTGGACCAATATAATAAGTTACATTTATACGGTACCTTCCACATTAACAAATGGATTATCTTGTCTGCTTTTCATACACTATCCCCTGAATGATACTGATATTCAGAAAAATTAAAGTATCTGTCTAAAATTACTCAGTAAATGGAAGAACTGAGATAAGTACAGCTGTTTTCTTAGGACAAATTATTACTTTCTGTCAGAGGAATTTAACTTTTAATAACTCAAGATCCTTGTATCCTGCTTGTGCTTTGTTTTGTTTTTTAATCTTTTTTTAAACTCTGATAAAATAGTTAGCTCATCATAGTGTCAACTCTGCTATTTTAACAATTATTCAAATATTGATACTGGTTTCATTGTTAGAAAAGTATTTGTTTGCAGTAAGGGCTAAAATTACTTACTTTCTTTTAGACTAAAAAGTACATTTTTGAATATAGATGTAGTTCACTTAAATGACATTTTACCATAAATAATTTAAATTATATGTATGTACATTTACTTAGTTGGCATTTTTTTTTTTCATTTTTCTTTTCAGTTCAGTAATGTTAATTGTTCTGATGCCTTGGTTCTCAAATTAAATGAAAGTCAGGATGTTCTCAGTCCATCATTTAAAACAGCACGATTTGGAACACTATTTGAAAGATGTAACAGGTAAGCAAAGATGCTGAAGGTAATAAAGAAGCTGTAGCATTCTGTACTTTCAGTTATTAATTTGATTTTAATGGACACAAATATTTTTAATTAGAAATATAAACAGAACTGTAACTCTTCCCCCCAAAAGTGACTATTAGTAAAATGTGTTATTAAAATAATTTAAGTAATTATTTTCTAACGTGAACATCTGCCTTTCATTTACATAGTTTTTAAAGTATTTTGGACAAGGTATTTTGTATCTTTTGTAATCTCTATGAATCACTATTTTATTTTTTTGAATCATTGATTTCTTTTTCACATTTATGGCAGTTAGTTGAGCAGAATCCCACTTTTATTTTCTGGATGTTTGTGTATAAACCCTGGTTCATTGTTTTAAAATCCATTAAGCTTATAAAACCAGTTTGAATCACTCCTGGTAATGTAATGAGAAACCTTGACTCTGTAATTCTATCCTAGTCTTCTTCATCTTAGTAAGTGGCACCACTATTCACTCAGTTGCTAAAGCCAAAATAAAAGTTGTCCTTAATTCCTTTCTTTCCTTCATCTCCCAATATCCATTACACCAACAAAGCAGTATCGTTGCTATATTGTAATAAACTTTAAAATTATCTATGCACATTTCTATCTCTACAGGTTCTATCCCAGTCTAAGCTATGGCTGCTTCTTGCTTGGAGAATTGTCATGCCACATAACATGATAACATTTTTATTTTTTCTCTGTTCTAACATTTTTAAAAAAACAGTTTAAGAATGTATAATTGAGATACCACAAACTGAACTTGTTTAAAATATGTACTTTAATAAGTTTTGACATATGTTAAAGACAATTAATACATTCATCATCCCCAATAGTTTCTTTAGGCACCTCAAGGCTCCACATATGAGTGCGATCATGAGGTATTTTTCTTTCTGGGTCTGGCTTATTTCACTTAACATAATGCCCTCTAAGTCCATCCATGTTGCCATAAACAGGAATTCATTCTTTTTTATTGATGAATAGTATTCCATTATCTATATATACCACATTTTTTTTTGTATGTTCATCCTTTGTTGGGCACTTAGGTTGATTTCATATCTTGGCTATTGTAAATCATACTGCAATAAATATGGGAATGCAGATATCTCTTTGACATGTTGACTTTATTTCCACTTGGTGTATGCCTAGTAATGGGATTGCTGGATCATATGGTAGTTCTGTTTTTAATTTTTTGTGGAACCTCCATACTGTTTTCCATAATATCTGTACTAGTTTACACTCCCACCTGCAGTGTACAAGTGTTCCCTTTTCTCCACATCCTCACCAACACTTGTTTTCTTTTCTCTTTTTGATTGTAGCCATTCTAACTGGAGTAAGGTGGTGTCTCATTGTTGTTTTGATTTGTGCTTTCCTGCTGATTAGTAATGTTGAGTATTTTTTCATATTCCTGTTGCCTATTTGTATGTCTTCTTTTGAGAAATCTATTAAGAGCCTTTGCCCATTTCTCAGGTGGGTTATTTGTGGGGTTTTTTTGCTGTTAAGTTCCTTATATATTCTTGATATTACCCCTTGTCAGATGTATAGTTTGCAAATATTTTCTCCATTCTGTAGGTTGTCTCTTCATTCTGTTAACAGTTTCCTTTGATGTTAAAGCTTTTTAGTCTGATATAATCTCACTTGTCTATTTTGGATTTTATTGTTTGTGATTTTGAAGTCTTATTAAAAAATTCCTTGTCCGGCTCCATGTCGTGCATTGTTTCTCCCTGTGTTTTCTTTTAGTATTTTCATAGTTTTGGATTTTACAATTAAATCATTAATACATTTTGTGTTGATTTTTGTATATGGTGAAAGGTAGGGGTCTAGACCTATTGTTTTGAATATACAGTTTCCCAGCATCATGTACTCAAGAGATTGTCTTTTCCCCAATATGTACTCTTGGCACCCTTATCAAAGATCATTTGGCTGGGGGCCGGCCGGTGGCGCACTGGATAGTGCGCCGCTTGGGAAGCGTGGCGGCGCTCCCGCCCGAGGGTTCGGATCCCACATACAGACCGGTTCCCGCTCACTGGCTGAGCGAGGAGCGGGAGCAGCACCGAGGGTTGCGATCCCGTTGCCGGTCCCGGTCCAGTGTGGGGGCGACACTGAGGGTTGCGATCCGTTGCCGGACACGGAAAAAAAAAAAAAAAAAAAAAAAAAAAAAAAAAAAAAAAAGATCATTTGGCTGTAGGTGTGTGGATTTATTTCTGAACAGTCTCTTCTGTTCCATTGGTCCAGGTGTCTGTTTTTATGACAGTACCATGCAGATTTGGTTACTATATCTTTGTAGTATACTTTGAAGTCAGGTAGTGTGATGCCTCCAGCTTTGTTCAGTTTTTTTCAGGATTGTTTTGGCTGTTCAGGGTCTTTTGGTTCCATATGAATTTCAGAACTGTTTTTTCTATTTCTGTGAAGAATGTCATTGGTATTTTGATAGGAATTGCATTAAATCTGTAGATTGCTTTGGGTAGAATAGCCATTTCAATAATACTAATTCTTCCAATCCATGAACATGTGATTCCATTTATTTAAGTCCTCTTTAATTTCTTTCTTCACACTTTTACAGCTTTCATTGTAGAGGTCATTTGCTTCCTTGGTTAAGTTTATTCTGAGGTATCTGAATGTTTTTTTATAGTTACCATAGAAGGAATTGTTTTCTTGATTTCCTTTTCAAGTAGTTCACTGTAAGTGTATAGAAATGCTACTGACTTTTGTATGTTGACTTTGTATCCTGCAACTTTGCTTTACTCATTTATTCTAACAGTTTTTTGTTGGAGTCTTTAGGGTTTTCTGTATATAAGATCATGTAGTCTATAAACAGACAGTTTCACTTCTTCCATTCCAATTTGGATGCCTTTTATTTCTGGCTCTTGTCTAAATGCTCTGGCTAGGACTTCTAGTATTATGTTAAATAAAAGTGGTGAATGTGGGCATCCTTACCTTCTCACTGATGTGAGAGGAAAAGCTTTCAGCTTTTCTATATTTAGTATGATGTTAACTGTGGGTTTGTCATATATACATACATACATATATATATATATATATATGTATGTATGGCTGTATTAGTCCTTTTCTGTTGCTTATAACAGAATACCTGAAACTGAGTAATTTATCAAGAAATAAAATGTATTCCTTACAGTTTCAGAGGCTGGAAAGTCAAAAGTCCAGAGAACACATCTAGTGAGGGCCTTGGTGATGGTGGCTCGACAGTGACTTGGTATCACATGGTGAATAGCTTGAGCAAGAGAAAGCTAACCTCCTCACTCACTCTCCTTATAAAGCCATCAGAACCACTCCTATGACCACCTGTTAATGGATTAGTGCATTCCCTAGGGCATGGTCCTCACAATCTGATCACTTCTCAAAGGCTCCACCTTTCAATAACAATAACAAAACTTCCCACCCTCTTAACTGTCACAGTGGGGATCAAGTTTCTAATATGTGAAACTTTGGGGGACACATTCAACCCATAGCAATGGCCTTTATTGTAGGGTGTACATACCATCAATACCTAACTTGTTCAGAGTTTTTATCATGAAGGAATGTTGAATTTTGTCAAATGCTTTCTGAGTCAACTGAAATGATTATATGGGACTTCTGGTCAAGATGGCGGAATAGACGGTCCCCAGCATCACTCTCTTCCACAACTAAACTAATTTACAACTATTAAAAAGCAATGACAGCCAAGCTGGAGCCACTAGAGCTCAGGGGAGGAGAGACCTATGGAGTGTGTGAAGGCCAGAGAAGCAACAATGAGAGAAAGAAAAAACCTCTCTGACCATTTTGAGCCTCAGCTGCTTCCAGGCTGGAGCTGCTGAGCGCATGGAGCAAGAGCCAGCAAAAGCTGCAGCTGTGCCCTTCGGACGGAGTTGCATGGAGGGGGCAGGGGAGAAGAGGGCCTTGGTGGCCCTCAGGCCAGCAACACAACTAATAGGGTTCCTGTGGACCCACATAGGAGCAAGGAGCCACAACAACTGAAAAAGAGCCACTCAGAGGCTGGTGAGTCATCACAAGGGATGTGTTTGCACGTCCCATGGGAAGTGTTTGCAGCATGGGCAGTGGGGGACATGGGCCCACCAGGAGAACACTGGGACAGAGCAAGGACAGCTGATCTTCCCCCAATCAGCATAGGACCACTCAGAGGAGACTGGTCAGGAATAGAGAATTGCATGAGGTGCAGTTTGATGAAAAGACTCAGGCACAGACCAGTGTGTCTCACAATCTAGGTGCATTGCATTTCACTAAACTCAGAAGTCCTATAAAGTCAACCATTAAAACCTGAGCTGCACAAAAAGCCTTCCCCAGGGAATCAACAGCAAAGCAGCAATTTAGTTCAACCACAGAGCTCAAGGAATGGTTCCCACAGGAAGTTCCCACACTTTAGAAGTAAGCAAAGGCCAATTAATTAGTTCCAGTGCGGAGTTTAAGTGGTTGGAACATCAAATAATCCAGTACAGAACTGAAAGCAAAAATAGAGTACCCACAACCAGAGGGAAAGTTTGATATTAATTAGTAAAGGTCTCATTTCACCAAAGAACACCTATAACACCTAGAAGGACTGGAAGTCCCCTGAGCTACCAAGCCAGAAAGGGGAAACAAGAAGGCAAACCACCAGTGCCACGGGGCCTTCCTGGGGTCCCAAGATATGGAGCTGGGGATCAGATCCTCCTCCCACAACCAGTCACAGCTCCTGTGCCATGGGGCCCATCTGGGGTCTGGAGGTATGGAGCCAGGGTTCAGACCCTCCTCCCACAACCAAGCACACCACCATCACCACCACCAACTAGGTAAGGAGCATGCCAAAACATCACCTCCATGTGGGTGGCCCACCACAGTAACCACAGCTGCTGCGAATGTTGCTAGACACCACAACCACCATGCAGGTGGTCTACCAGCACTGGAGTGCATTGACACAAGGAGAGTCACCAGCAGAGACCAAAGAAAAGAAGAGGATGTCTCTCTACACAAAACTCATTCCAGAGTGA